AATATTTGGATATTTTCTGATTAAGTTACTTGTCAACCGACATTCACTGTCAAATTATTCAGTAGCAAGATTCTCTAGTGAATTGTGAGCCGAGAGATGTTTAACATGTTCATATTTTCTTTGGTGATTTGTATTAAATTTGGTGTGTAACACTAAGCGAGCGTTGAGAATTGTCACCAGTTTTATTATGAATCCAAACAAATAGCCTATCGTCATTGAGTTGGTAGGCCAATTAAGATAATTGCTGATATAAAATCAGAGATAACAGTATTAAATGTATATCACGTAACGTATAAACTGACAATCGCCGGAGTATTCACGTTTTACGATGTAGAACTCTCGCAAACGAATGACCAACAAATAGGTGCTGAGGGAGGCATAAAAAATCCACTGTCCATATAATTCTTGTTATCGCTTGAACATTTTGATAAGCGGAGGTGTCGTTTATAGCTGCCCTCACTCCCATAAACAAGTCTGACGTCACTCACTGCTTGGCCTCACACTTGACATGTACCAGCCAAACTTCACACTGGGGTTTATTGAGTTAAATTTAACATTTGCAATCACAAGTTGTATATTTTTAATGTTTTCATTTCTATAAATCATATTCAATTGATTTTCATAGTATATGTGTTTTGCCAAACACACTATGTACAACTCTGCTCCATTATACTTTTAAAGACGATCAAAAATAAATGTAGGAAACGTACACAATAGGGACAGCGTTAGTTCTTTCTATTACTTTGTATTACGTTGTATTCAGATATATATTTCTTGAACAAGGTCTGATGTCAATCTCACCTTATAGCGAATATCCCTATAGGGAAGTAGCTATTACCGTAGGTGGTACGGAAGGCCTGGGCCCGGGACCAATTTACTTTTTCATTTTGATGTCCCCAGAGGCCAAAAACACAATTCGTTCAAATTTTCATATTTTATATAGTCCGTGAACGTGATTACTAGAGTAATTTTTGTCAGATTTTGATGTAGTTTGGTTTAAAGGTATAAGTCGGGATAAACTTAAATGAGTTCGAGAACCAGCATAATCGGACCATGGTAACATGTTTTACGGGGTTTTATTGTGTAAAAATTGGTTTTTCACATTTTTGACCCTCATAACACAAAATGTCCCAATTTCTCTCTAGACCATTTAAGAGCTTAAAAAAAACAAACAATTTATTATGCCAAAGTGTTTTTGTACGGTTATTGTTAGGTAGAAAATTCAATAAAATTGCAAGTGTAAAATGTTGTAGTTTGTTTGTTTATGGAAATATTTTGATCAAACTTTGTAAATTTATTTATTTTATACTAAGCTACTAATATTTTACTAAAAACACACTTTATTAGCCTCCCTGTTGCAGCAAACCTAGGTACTCGTTAAACGTCATGTAATTTAAATATATTTAATTGATAATCAATTCAGACAAATAGAAATTTGCTTAGCCGGCAGGTTTTGCTGCGGCAGGGGTATTATTATTTATATTGATGCAAAATACCAAACTTGACAACTGGACATGCAGACTGTGCCATTTTACAACATTTGGACAGAACCAGTGATTGGACAAAGCCGTGTCTGGTTGTGACGTGAATACACCTTCAGTGAGCCACGAGTTACAACACCCTCTCTCTGGCTGGGTAAAACTTGCTTTGTTACAGTAAATGTATATAGAGTCTGTGGATATTTGAATCAAACTCTCACATAGTTAATAAAAATAGTGATTCCTCGTACATTTCTTCAGAATGAAGCGCGCCATTACTGTACGAATAGCTAACCACCATTGGAGATTGGCGGAGTTTGAACCCAGAACATCAGGGAAGGAAGCCGTGACGTCCCCAGGTATTGCATTGTTGTTAGATAATGTACCATAAATGTATTAAACTCATTTAAGAATTACTGTTTTTATTATAAAATATACACGTAAAGTAAAAAAAATATTTACAACGATATTATACAAACATAATAAAAAACCAATACATATAGCATTTAAACACTAAAATGTCTTTGTATTGTCCTAACTCATTTTTGGTATTTTTAGTCGGCGGGACACTGGTGTCCTAATTGATCAGTGGTATCCTTGGTTGATGGGAATGTCCTGGGTTGATGGGGCACCGGTGTCCTAACTGATCTGTGGTATCCTGGGTTGATGGGGCACCGGTGTCCTAACTGATCTGTGGTATCCTGGGTTGATGGGACACCGGTGTCCTAACTGATCTGTGGTATCCTGGGTTGATGGGACACCGGTGTCCTAACTGATCTGTGGTATCCTGGGTTGATGGGACATCGGTGTCCTAACTGATCTGTGATATGCTGGGTTGATGGGACACCGGTGTGCTAACTGATTTGTGGTATCCTGGGTTGATGGGACACCGGTGTGCTAACTGATTTGTGGTATCCTGGGTTGATGGGACACCGGTGTCCTAACTGATCTGTGATATGTTGGGTTGATGGGACACAGGTGTCCTAACTGATCTGTGATATGCTGGGTTGATGGGACACCGGTGTGCTAACTGATTTGTGGTATCCTGGGTTGATGGGACACCGGCGTCCTAACTGATCTGTGGTATCCTGGGTTGATGGGACACCGGTGTGCTAACTGATTTGTGGTATCCTGGGTTGATGGGACACCGGCGTCCTAACTGATCTGTGGTATCCTGGGTTGATGGGACACCGGTGACTTGGTCTTTGGAAACTTGGTATCCTGTTCTGTAGTGGTAGACTGAGTGCGCCACTCACGCACACTGGGGTAGCAGGGGCCGTCAGCGATCTTCGTGTAGTCTGTAACAAAACAGTAAATATTGTACAATCATGTTTAGCAATAGTTACAACAAAAATTAGTCCTACAAATTTTAGATGAAAGAACAATCGAGCTTAGGGTTTTCCATGTAACATTATTACCATTTTGTGGAAGCTTTAGTCAAATTATTTAACTAATATTTTTTAATTTAAAAGGTTTAAAAATGCAGTTAATTTACACAAGGAACACTTAAACCTTAGCTTGGCAGTTGTTGACATTTATAATTTTGTTATAAGATCGTCACAACTCAAGATTAAATTATTTAAATTTAAAATCTTCTCGTTAATTAGTGAAATAAAAATGACTAGCCTAAACTATTATGATATTTGATAGGTAATACATCTTTATGCATAAATTAGGATCGCGAGAACTAGCATGTGATGCTGAAGGTTACAGACTCCTCACACACACCATCCATCAGGTTCAGATACTCTTAATCTATTCATCCGTGGTATTTTCACTTTTTATTAACAAGCAAAATATATTTTACCTATCTTAGGTCTGTTACCATATGAAGCACTTAAATCTCTCAAAATTTAAAACTGGATGCATCACAATGCCGTTTGATAATTCTAAGATTAAAAATTGTCTCCAAATAAGAGTCACATTAATGATTTTGCATTGCAGTATCTAGTCTGATTACTACATCCCAGGGACCCTTGGTGATCAGACCCATACGATTGTGCACACAGACATTCTAAAACGTGCAAACGTAATAAGAATTAAGACTGAACATAGTGTATTCGCAATGCCAAATAGAGTATGTATTTTTGTCTACGTCTACGTTTTTCGTATTCTACAGATCCGGTGTCCATAAACATTTTACGAGTCAATAAATAGTTGATATCATAAGGTACTGATATCACACCCGGAAACCGATTTTTAAACATTTATTGAAATAAAATTAGGGAATTACTTTTAAAGTATTCTTCTACGATGCATACTCTACTCTAACAGCTGGCAAAAACACCGTTTTCCATTTTGAGTCGTAGCAAAGATTACACATGTTACGCAAATACCTCATCTAATAAATAATCATTTTTCTTATAATTGCCGGCATTTTGAGTCTCAGGAATAGTATACTATTCATAACAAGAGTAGAAAGTAATTCATTACATATTTGGAACCATACCGTGTTTAAAGTGCGATATTTATCGAACACTTTTATTATGGGTGAGAATATGCAATGGCCAATGACCCACTTTTACTCGGTGTTTTTAACGTTACTTTTCGTGAAACTAAAAAGACTAATTATGTTTTAATTAAAAATAGACTTTGGAATATTTCTTTGTAACAGTTAGAAACATTTAAAAACTAATAGCCTTTTTAGGTTTGGCCATCTATTTTAAGTTTAAATTTACATTACAGTTTTGGTTGTTGATTATTTGATTTCTGTATTTAATTAGATTATTAAAAAAAAATATTAGCGACTTTAAATATAGCACGACTATCTAAGTCAGATTCATTTGGCTGGTTACAATATTTAACTGTTGACTTGATAACTTATAGCCTCTGAAACACCAATTGAATATTGTTTGACATTTCATCATTTGCTGAATATATTTTTATCAAACGTTGGTTAAACATTTTCGCAATACCTGATATAAGTATAAGTTTTAACTAAATTGATACAATAGTCAATAGTATAAGCAAGAAGCTAGAACTCGGAAGAGAACAAACATCCTCAACCACATGGAGACCAAGCAGTTTACGTTGTGATCAGCGACGCCAGCACAACAACATGGAGATAAACTTGCTAGTGACTCACGAGGCATGCATGGCGTGTCCCAACAGATAACTAAGTCTGGAGTGAGAAAGGTCAGTGTCCATCGGGGACTATCGTGACACAAAGTATCCCCAAACAACTCTAGTACAGAACCATCTAGTTGACTAGTCATAGAGCTCTACTGAGTAAAAGTACTAAAATGGAAGTCTCGAATGATAACTTATTGAGTTAATTCAGATGATACTTACTATTACCCCTGCTGAGGTTACATTTGTCCAACGCCTCCACACTACAGAAGGTGGTGTACCCCAGTCTAGGATCATGGCCACACACTGGGATGTACACTTCGTTACAGTTGCTGCGACACTTCTTGACACCGTGCACTCCCGTCAACACAGCCACTGTAACAACACAATATAGAGTTGTACATATCTTGGACTATAGACAAAGGTGGTGTACCCCAGTCTAGGATCGTGGCCTCACACTGGGATGTACACTTCGTTACAGTTGCTGCGACACTTCTTGACACCGTGCACTCCCGTCAACACAGCCACTGTAACAACACAGTAGAGTTGTACATATCTTGGACTATAGACAAAGGTGGTGTACCCCAGTCTAGGATCGTGGCCACACACTGGGATGTACACTTCGTTACAGTTGCTGCGACACTTCTTGACACCGTACACTTCCGTCAACACAGCCACTGTAACAACACAGTAGAGTTGTACATATCTTGGACTATAGACAGAAGGTGGTGTACCCCAGTCTAGGATCGTGGCCACACACTGGGATGTACACTTCGTTACAGTTGCTGCGACACTTCTTGACACCGTGCACTCCCGTCAACACAGCCACTGTAACAACACATTAGAGTTGTACATATCTTGGACTATAGACAGAAGGTGGTGTACCCCAGTCTGGGGACATGGTCACACACTGGGATGTACACTTCGTTACAGTTGCTGCGACACTTCTTGACACCGTGCACTCCCGTCAACACAGCCACTGTAACAATACAATATAGAGTTGTACATATCTTGGACTATAGACAGAAGGTGGTGTACCCCAGTCTGGGGACATGGTCACACACTGGGATGTACACTTCGTTACAGTTGCTGCGACACTTCTTGACACCGTGCACTCCCGTCAACACAGCCACTGTAACAACACATTAGAGTTGTACATATCTTGGACTATAGACAGAAGGTGGTGTACCCCAGTCTGGGGTCATGGTCACACACTGGGATGTACACTTCGTTACAGTTGCTGCGACACTTCTTGACACCGTGCACTCCCGTCAACACAGCCACTGTAACAACACATTAGAGTTGTACATATCTTGGACTGTAGACAGAAGGTGGTGTACCCCAGTCTGGGGACATGGCCACACACTGGGATGTACACTTCGTTACAGTTGCTGGGACACTTCTTGACACCGTGCACTCCCGTCAACACAGCCACTGTAACAACACATTAGAGTTGTACATATCTTGGACTATAGACAGAAGGTGGTGTACCCCAGTCTGGGGACATGGTCACACACTGGGATGTACACTTCGTTACAGTTGCTGCGACACTTCTTGACACCGTGCACTCCCGTCAACACAGCCACTGTAACAACACATTAGAGTTGTACATATCTTGGACTATAGACAGAAGGTGGTGTACCCCAGTCTGGGGTCATGGCCACACACTGGGATGTACACTTCGTTACAGTTGCTGGGACACTTCTTGACACCGTGCACTCCCGTCAACACAGCCACTGTAACAACACATTAGAGTTGTACATATCTTGGACTATAGACAGAAGGTGGTGTACCCCAGTCTGGGGACATGGTCACACACTGGGATGTACACTTCGTTACAGTTGCTGGGACACTTCTTGACACCGTGCACTCCCGTCAACACAGCCACTGTAACAACACATTAGAGTTGTACATATCTTGGACTATAGACAGAAGGTGGTGTACCCCAGTCTGGGGTCATGGCCACTCACTAGGATGTACACTTCGTTACAGTTGCTGGGACACTTCTTGACACCGTGCACTCCCGTCAACACAGCCACTGTAACAACACATTAGAGTTGTACATATCTTGGACTATAGACAGAAGGTGGCCTTAAGGCCTTAAAGGCTAGTACTCACGAGGACACCCGGTCGCTTATCAACCGGCGATCTGGTTGACGAGCGACCAAATTGCACAAATATCGCCGTGTGTGTACGTATCTGTCAATTTGGTTGACGGCGATTTGTAGGTTGCCAGGCAACTTTTTGGTTTTCGGACATGTATCGAAAACCTGGGGGTTTCCGATCAACCATTTTATCGCCGGGCAATCAGATTTCTCAAAAAACTAGAGTGTGTACGCTTCAGCGACCAAGTTGATCAACTAAAAACGGCTAGCGCATGCGCAGTACACTGTTTGTATCAACTGTCAAAATTAAACAGTGCTAGTGCTAAACGTGGTCTCTTTCAATTTAGAGGGGGTTTTCGATTGTTTGAGTTTATTGTAGACTGCTCAAGTGTTTGTGTTTGTTTGGATGAATGTGTGTACCAACCATGACTGAACATAGTGAAGTCAATGTTGATCAAGACGTGGCGGGCATAACCAACAATCCGGATACATCAACGACTGCGATTGGTCCAATACCCTTTAGCCCAAAATATTTTGAACAATGTCTTCCTTCAATTAATTAGAATTATAACTGCGGCAGCAATCTCTTCTTCGTAGGTGGGCATGTTGTCACAACACACAGGTCAGTGCAACTCTGCAACTAGAGCTCGAACCAGATTCCAGAACCAAACACAGTCCATCCCCACCAAATTTTGATTTCCTGCTCGGTTGAAAGTGCTAGGTATCCTAGTGTGTACCACCCAGCAATAAAACGTTCAATCATCAACTTAGTCGCTCGTCAACCAGGTCGCCGGTTGATAAGCGACCGGGTGTCCTAGTGAATACTAGCCTGTAGAGTTGCTGAGACACTTCTTGACTTGACACCGTACACTCCCGTCCACACAGCCACTGTAACAACACAATATAGAGTTGTACATATCTTGGACTATAGACAGAAGGTGGTGTACCCCAGTCTGGGGTCATGGCCACACACTGGGATGTACACTTCGTTACAGTTGCTGGGACACTTCTTGACACCGTGCACTCCCGTCAACACAGCCACTGTAACAACACATTAGAGTTGTACATATCTTGGACTATAGACAGAAGGTGGTGTACCCCAGTCTGGGGACATGGTCACACACTGGGATGTACACTTCGTTACAGTTGCTGCGACACTTCTTGACACCGTGCACTCCCGTCAACACAGCCACTGTAACAACACAATATAGAGTTGTACATATCTTGGACTATAGACAGAAGGTGGTGTACCCCAGTCTGGGGTCATGGCCACACACTGGGATGTACACTTCGTTACAGTTGCTGGGACACTTCTTGACACCGTGCACTCCCGTCAACACAGCCACTGTAACAACACATTAGAGTTGTACATATCTTGGACTATAGACAGAAGGTGGTGTACCCCAGTCTGGGGTCATGGCCACACACTGGGATGTACACTTCGTTACAGTTGCTGGGACACTTCTTGACACCGTGCACTCCCGTCAACACAGCCACTGTAACAACACAATATAGAGTTGTACATATCTTGGACTATAGACAGAAGGTGGTGTACCCCAGTCTGGGGTCATGGCCACACACTGGGATGTACACTTCGTTACAGTTGCTGGGACACTTCTTGACACCGTGCACTCCCGTCAACACAGCCACTGTAACAACACATTAGAGTTGTACATATCTTGGACTATAGACAGAAGGTGGTGTACCCCAGTCTGGGGTCATAGCCACTCACTAGGATGTACACTTCGTTACAGTTGCTGGGACACTTCTTGACACCGTACACTCCCGTCCACACAGCCACTGTAACAACACAATATAGAGTTGTACATATCTTGGACTATAGACAGAAGGTGGTGTACCCCAGTCTGGGGTCATGGTCACACACTGGGATGTACACTTCGTTACAGTTGCTGGGACACTTCTTGACACCGTGCACTCCCGTCAACACAGCCACTGTAACAACACATTAGAGTTGTACATATCTTGGACTATAGACAGAAGGTGGTGTACCCCAGTCTGGGGTCATGGCCACACACTGGGACGTACACTTCGTTACAGTTGCTGGGACACTTCTTGACACCGTGCACTCCCGTCAATACAGCCACTGTAACAACACAATATAGAGTTGTACATATCTTGGACTATAGACAGAAGGTGGTGTACCCCAGTCTGGGGTCATGGCCACACACTGGGACGTACACTTCGTTACAGTTGCTGGGACACTTCTTGACACCGTGCACTCCCGTCAATACAGCCACTGTAACAACACAATATAGAGTTGTACATATCTTGGACTATAGACAGAAGGTGGTTACCCCAGTCTGGGGACATGGTCACACACTGGGATGTACACTTCGTTACAGTTGCTGGGGGCTTCTTGACACCGTACACTTCCGTCAACACAGCCACTGTAACAACACAGTAGAGTTGCACATATCTTGGACTATAGACAGAAGGTGGTGTACCCCAGTCTAGGATCATGGTCACACACAAGGATGTACACTTCGTTACAGTTGCTGGGGACTTCTTGACACCGTACACTTCCGTCAACACAGCCACTGTAACAACACAATATAGAGTTGTACATATCTTGGACTATAGACAGAAGGTGGTGTACCCCAGTCTGGGGTCATGGCCACACACTGGGATGTACACTTCGTTACAGTTGCTGGGACACTTCTTGACACCGTGCACTCCCGTCAACACAGCCACTGTAACAACACATTAGAGTTGTACATATCTTGGACTATAGACAGAAGGTGGTGTACCCCAGTCTGGGGTCATGGCCACTCACTAGGACGTACACTTCGTTACAGTTGCTGGGGACTTCTTGACACCGTACACTTCCGTCAACACAGCCACTGTAACATCACAGTACTCCACATAAAAAAAATAATTTTTTCCTTATCGATAGTTAGTGTAAAAGATGAAACAGTAATGAATTACTTTGATTGTATTAGAGTATCTGGTTGGTATTTAAACTAGTTGGAAAACATTTTCTTGACGATCATTTGTAGGGACTAGTTGATCCCCAGAACGGCTGAACAATGCACTTAATAAATTTTATCTAATCCCTGGTAGGATGAAATATCAAAGTTTGATAACTCTGAAAACCTCTGTGTTTTTACATTAATAGCGGTGTTTGATAACACTGTTTATACAAGATGAGTGTTGGTGACGATGTGCACATGCCTGTCGCAGTAGCTCACCACACTGACAAGGTTCGTTGTCTTGTTTACATTCTGCTGAAGTTTCGCAACGTCAGCTTTCTCCGTTTCACACCTTTCGGGCGTTTTGATGTGAAGCACGCAGCTCGAGCGAGCTTTGATGATAAACGCAATATAGTCCAGGAGCTGAGGGGGCTTGAGCATGCATGAAAGTAGTACGCAATGTTATTGCTGATTATTGTAATATGGACTGTAAGGATCAAAATTACGTATGTCGCCTATTTCAAAAGTGGTCGATAAGGTGGGGGGACGGGGCAAACATGGTGGTTTGTGCTATGCGTTAAAACGCTGATATTTCGAAAACGGTAAAAGATAGAACATCGGTTAAAACGTCGTTGTAATTCAAAAAATGTGGACTAGAATAACGGTTATTGGGTCCGAGGTCGTATCTCTATAAATAAACAAGTTATTGTATAAAATATGTAAAAATTGACTTTTCGTGTAGTTTTTTTTACCGAAAGTAGAATTATTTTGTGAGTGTTGCAAAGAAGTAATATCAAATATCTTTGCTTATAGTTGTAATATGGACTGTGGTGATAAAAATTACGCATTTCGCCTACTTTTCAGGTGGTCGAGAACTTGGGGGGAGGGGGGCAAAGATGGCGGAACGCGCTATACATTGAAACGACTGTAGCTCGATAACGGTACGAGATGGGACATCGGTTAAAACGTAGTTTTAATCAAAACATATGGCCAATAGAAAAGGTTATAGGGTAAAAAGTTTTATCTTAACTAATAAAAAAGTTATAGCAATAATAAGTTTAACAAAATCTACACTATGCAGCTATTTTACTTCAAAAATCATATGGATTGTTTATAAATAATAGTGTAATTACTTAATTACTCGGCTAAATATTAACTAGATGGATTTTCTTATAAGAAAAAATATATTATTACGAATACATATGGTTTAAAATGTAAAACATGGCCTCCAAACGCCTTGGGGTTCGTCCGATAGGTTGCGTCATAATTGCTGCGCAGTGCTGCTGATATCGGCACAACTGTTAAATCCCCCCAAAGATGCCTTCCAACTCAGTGATATCGGGGTTGTGAAAGTATTTGTACAGTTTAAGACTACTGACATTTATTGTGTTTTACTTATACAAATAACATTCTTTTATAACTTTTAATATTTATTTAAATGTATTAAATTTCAATACATTTTATTTTAAGTTGCTTACGTTTTTTTTAATTGTGTGTGGCTGGTTTTTATGTACGTTTGTTCTTAGTGACTAGTGGATTAGGCAATTTAAGTAAAATTTCACCAACTTACAAAAGTTAGGTACCTATTTCAATTCAACAAATAATATGAACAACCAGTTTAATTGTTATGGACAGAATGAAGAGATTTACCGTATTTTTTATTATAATTTATTTACTTTTGTAGTTATGTTTTTTATTTCATATAACAGTATTTAATAAGAATCTGTTACATAATCATATTGTAATAACCTATAACATTATAAATAAAATTGGATTTGTAGTGGCAAAGATTACATATGTAATCTTTGGTAGTGGTAATATGTATTACGCATTTGATTGTGGCGAAACCCCAAGTATTATACGTAGTTTGGAGGCAGTGTTTTTACATTTTAAACCATATAAATTCGTAATAATATATTTTTTTTCTTATAAGAAAATGCATCTAGTTAATATTTAGCCGAGTAATTAAGTAATTACACTATTATTTATCAACAATCCATTTGATTTTTGAAGTAAAATAGCTGCATAATGTAGATTTTGTTAAACTTATTATTACTAAAACTTTTTTATTAGTTAAGATACAACTTTTTACCCTATAACCTTTTCTATTGGCCATATCTTTAACCGATGTCCCATCTCATACCGTTATCGAGCTACAGTCGTTTCAATGCATAGCGCGTTCCGCCATTTTTGCCCCCCTCCCCACAAGTTCTCGATCACCTGAAAAGTAGGCGACATGCGTATTTTTTATCACCACAGTCCACATTACAACTACCTATCAGCAAAGATATGTGATATTACTTTTTTGCGACACTAACAAATTAATTCTTCTTTCGGTAAAAAAAATACACGAAAAGTCCATTTTTACAATAACTTGTTTATTTATAGAGATACGATCTCGGACCCAATAACCGTTATTCTAGTCCACATTTTTAGAATTACAACGACGTTTTAACCGATGTTCTATCTTTTACCGTTTTTGAAGTCTCAGCGTTTTAACGCATAGCGCAAACCGCCATGTTTGCCCCGTCCCCCCACCTTATCAATCACTTTTGAAATAGGCGACATACGTAATTTTGATCACCACAATCCATATAACAATAATCAGCAATAACATTGCGTACTACTTTCATGCATGCTCAAAGCCCCTCAGCTCCTGGACTAATAGAAATTGTTGTCGTAGTACCGTATCTACTATCAGCTGATCTCTTATTTGCATTCTTATTGGAAGATGAGAAATCTTAAGAAAATCTTAGATCCCTAACAATCTTAAAGATCTTAAATCTAAGCTATCTAAATCTTTAGATATCATATCCAAAGAAAATTTACGTTGAAATACAGACAATGAATGCAAACCCTTTGTCATTCATTGATACAGCGGTCAATTAATGTAGCTGTTTAGACTCATTAAAATGTATCTATAATATTTCTGAATAATTTGATTGCGTCATGATGTATAATAGTGCTTCTAATTCGTGTCTTAAAACATATTGCAAGGCTCCGCATTATATGTACTAACAAGCGACTCTTCGGAATCAGTTTATCAAGGAAAGAAACATAATTATTACACTCCCACCAGGACGTAACCGACTGCTTTGAAACGTCGTTCGGCGGAAGGAAAAATCTGTTTTCGAGGCATACAGAAACACAGCTGCTAATTTGCTTAGAGTTTATAAGAGGAGATCAGTTATGGTTTTGCCTGTTAGTTGACCTGGTAGTACGACGACCCCAGTCATCTCGAGAGTCCGCGACGTATACATAGAACATGCCAGACACGACTCGTGGCCCACCAACCCACATCCTTCATAAACAGATTATCTTATCAGGCGTTGAAATTGGCCACTGAGAGCGTTATTGCATAACGTTAAACAAGAACACTGTCAAGATTGGTCGTAATAGGAAACTGGGCTTATGCAATCAATTTCTACTCTGGCACTTAGGTAACGTAAGACCCAAAATAAACGATAACTTGTTTTTAGATACACAACTCGTGCAAAACTAAGCATACAGCTGATGTAGCGGACACGGAAGTGCAAGAACACGACACGCAGTCTGAACACCAATAATGGGAAACCTTGATGAGAATTGGACGCAATGAGATAATTTGCCACAGCACTTCAGACCACAGCTTCGCAATCTTCCTAACCGACTATCTTGATACAAAAACAAAACAAGGGCTACAACGTTTTGAAGATGAGTGATAATTCTCTTTCAAGTTTCAACATGTCTTCCAAACCTAACTACTTTTAACATAGGTATACACATAATACTTGTAAAATGAAATAGCCCAATCGTAATCTGCTGTAGGTATCATTGATTTCATGACAGCCACTATACTTCAACAATATTGTACCGTTGACTATTGCACACTGAAGTTGTATTAATAGTCAAATATTGTACTTAGAGTGAGATAAGCCTATTTGAATTATTCATATAGAGGAGTAGTGTTTATGGCAGTCTTTATTAATTTTTAATAGCAATTTTATGTGTTACAGCTAACAAATCACTTATGCGCATGCATGTGCCAACATTATCATATTATTATTTATCTGATGAGCGCAGAAAAAATCGTGAAAAGAATAATGTTTTTTTATTAGCAATTATATTGTGCTATGCTCTTGAAAAGATCAAAATGCAAATTTGTGCCAGGTCAATAGTACTAAAATAAATGTTAACTGAAATGAAGGCTTATTACGAGTCAAAACTTGTTGACAAAACCAAACGATAATTTAGGCAAGTTACAAGACATGAGCAGGACTGGCGTTGTGACCTTGACCTACAAATGACCTTGCTGAAGTCCAGGAGGTCCTTGGAGAGATGTAAGAGATTGTACACTGGAGTGAAACTATGCAAATACCATTAAAATGTGGAACAGTTAGAAAGTGGCTTAGGTCATAGTCCTAGAAATAACACGTTTGTTTACATTAATATTTCTGATGGTCTAATGTATGGGGCAACAGCCTTGAAACCAAAAATATTTATGTCAAGTATAACTTGTATAAAACATTGATTTAGGGGCCTTTAGGAACCTACAATTTTATCTAGGCCTAC